ACAAAACGACGATCATTTTCCTAATTTCATAGATAACAGAAGACTGTATTTTTTCTACATAACCCCCCCTGACTTTAAAGCTGGATCCGCCCCTGAATTTAACCCACCAAGAGCAAAAGACCATTAATTCAATGAAACAAGTTTCAACAAGAATGCGTTTTATAATTAAGGCCAAGCGCTTTCGACAATCATCGTCAAATCACAAGCGAACGTCCTCAAGAGCACCGAACCCGACATGCAAAAACAATGGTCAGAAATGGCCTAAAGGGCTAAAATCGTATATGACACCTGACGAGAAAACAGACTAAAGTTAAAAATTATGAGAGTTAATTATAAAACGCATTCATTAGAGAAACTTGATTGATTGAATTTCATCCAGTATGTACAAACCAAGTCCTTCCTGCTGTAAAATACCAATGCCCGAGGTAACGTGGAAAAGGGTGAAAATGCAGCCCAAAGTGGAAATTGACCTGCATAGCGATGATTTGGAGCCGGGCGCAAATCTGCTGATCAACATTACATTCCGTGGCGAGATGTATGCAACCGAAGGTATTTTTCGAAGATCCTACGTGCACCCTTTGACAATGGAAACGAAGTGGTAAGTCGCTTGGAGGATGTTCAAATCAATCAATCATATGAGGCAATCAATCAATGGCAGGTATGTGGCCACTTATCTGAGACCAAACTATGCGAGGAACGTATTTCCCTGCTTTGATGAGCCCGCCTATAAAGTGCCCATTGCATTATCGGTGATTAAGCCTAGTCAAATGAAAGCGGTTAGCAACATGCCGATTGGAAGCAGCAGGAGGCAAAGGTAAGCTATGCTGTGCTGAGGCTGGAAGCCTGCGTAACAACGCTTTCCTAGGGACGCGGACTCAACCATTGATTGCTTCCTGCCAACTCCACCAATGTCCACCTATAATCTAGCTCTGGTTGTATCGGAACTAACTCACTTCTGCAGCGAAACTAACGACAGCGCAGGTAAACGTGCACGAGGATGCAAACTAAACCAACTAAACTAATGGG